TGGGGGACGACATCGCCTGGATGAAGTTCGACAGCCAAGGTGAGTCTTCAGGCGGTCTTCGGCAGCTTAAAACCCAAAAGACTTCAACCTTGATCCGAAAAACTGACAAAGGCTCTTTGTCCTTTTCTGTTTTGTTCAGGCAATTTGCGCGCCATCAACCCTGAGAACGGCTTTTTTGGGGTTGCGCCCGGAACCTCGGCCAAAACTAACCCCAACGCCATGGCCACCATTGTCAAGAACACCGTCTTTACTAATGTTGCGGAGACCAGCGACGGTGGCGTGTACTGGGAGGGAATGGACCAGACCCTTCCTGAGGGAGTCACCATCACATCCTGGAAGAACAAGCCTTGGACTCCAGAGGATGGTGAGAAGCTTTTTGGATTACATGAACAGAAGAGCGGAAGTAGAAACGAAGGCAGCTGTCTACAGAAAAGCCTCATAGCTCCTGAGTCTAAAGCAAGAATGTGTCCATCTCTTGTCCTCGTAGGTGAACCCTGCGCTCATCCCAACTCTCGCTTCTGCACGCCGGCCGGACAATGCCCCATCATCGACCCGCAGTGGGAATCCCCAGAGGGAGTCCCGATTGAGGCGATCATCTTCGGGGGGCGCAGACCAGAAGGTGAGCAGCAACTCAATGGAAAGCTATAAAGCTAAAACGTAAAAGAAAAGGAGAGAAAATACTAGCTAGAAAAGTTTCAGAGGATGCTCATGTGATTCCCCCCCTCCCCCTGGCTTTCTTTCAGGTGTCCCTCTGGTGTATGAGGCTTTCAGCTGGCAGCATGGAGTGTTTGTTGGAGCAGCCATGAGGTCGGAGGCCACAGCTGCAGCTGAACACAAAGGTCAGTATCTGAGCAAGACGTATTTCAGTGGATTCCCTCTGTTTGGAGCTAAACTCACCAGTTCCGCCTCCTCTTGCTTCGTCTATTCAGGAAAGGTCATCATGAATGACCCCTTCGCCATGCGCCCCTTCTTCGGCTACAACTTTGGACAGTATCTCTCCCATTGGCTGAGCATGGCCGAGCGCCCCGGGGCCAAGCTGCCCAAGATCTTCCACGTCAACTGGTTCCGCAAGAGCCCCACGGCCGGCTTCCTGTGGCCCGGGTTCGGCGACAACATCCGCGTTCTGGAG